GTGAGTCAGAGTACAAAAATATGCACCCCCAGGAGAAGACCAGTGGCTGAAAGTTGGAGGGGGTTTTGCTGGGTTTGCAGGGAAGTGGGCTGCAATTTGGCTTTTAACTGGGAAGGGTGTTTTTGAATGGCTGATACTGTATAGGAACAATTCATCTTTTCAGTATAAATGAAAAACAGATCTCTTTTACTGCCACTGGGATGTAGTCAATGTGATTTCTTTTGTTGTTTTTCCACAAATAGCAACATCCCAGAAAGGGAAATACAGCAGTTTTCTTTTTGCTCAGGTTTTGTCGGTCTGGATGAAAATAAACCCAAAAAGAGAAATGACATGGGTGTTTCTCAGATTTGCAAAAGGAGGAATTTCTCAGAACCTATAAGTTGTCTTTTTTTTTTTTTTTTCAAAAGGGGTGTAACATTTAGCTGAACTGAGGGTGGAGAAGGCTCTTTGGTCTTTATGGTTTCCTGAATGTTTTATGTATTAAAACAGAATTAGGTGGATCTGCACACCTGTTGTAGAACTCTGTAGAATCACCTGGTTCCAGTTGCAGCTTTTTGTCTTTTGTGTTTTTTCTTGTCTTTAGCAGCTTTAAACTTGTAAATACATTTCTGAACATTGGAAATTAGTCTAGATGATGTCAAATGCTGGTAAAGATCCCCAGTCATCCAGGTCATAGCCATTCCAAAAGTATATAGTCATCAAAGCATCCCAGAACAATTCAAACCTTAAACAGAGACTAGTGGATCCTAAAGACGAAACCCCCCAGGCCAAATGTGAGCGGAGTGGTGTCTGCAGTTCAATGCAATGAGGAATGTTCTGATCTTTATATTGGAGAAAACAAACAACCTCTTTACAGATGCATGGCCCAACACAGAAGAGCGCCCTCCTCTGGACAAGACTCTGCCGTACAGCTACACCTTATGGACAAAGGGCATTCTTTGGAGGACCAGAATGTTCCCATTTTGGACAAAGAAGACAGGTGGTTTGAGAGGGGCGTGAAGGAAGCCATCTATGTTAGGAAAGAAAAACCAACCTTTCAGCTTTCAAAAACCCACTATGCAGCGATAGAGTTGATTTCTTCCTGCAAAAATCGCAGCCCATACCCCTTTACAGGTGAACAGAAGACCTCACCTGTTCAGCCAGGCCAACAATTCCCTTACGGACCATTAAAAATCATTAAATTTTTTTTTAAATTAAGGGCTGTGATTATTGAGGCATTTAAAAAAACTGTTAAAAAAGTTTATAAAAACAATTTAGTCAGATATATCGCAATATATGTGTGCGGAACTGCTTCTGGTCTATCGTAAAGCCGTATGTTCGGAAATGAAGATAATGGGGAAAATGCTAATTTCAACAAAAATGGCTCATGGTTACTTGTTGATGGCGTCAAAATTATTTCTAAGAGCATTAAAAAAAAACATTAGAAAGCATTAAATTAGACTTACTCATTCCTGTATAAACCCTGCTTTAACGACAGCCCTTTCAGAGACATAGACAGGTATTATTATTTCTATTTGCATGTTTTCTAAGCAAATAAAAGGCTTTATTGGGCTACTGGAGAAAACCTGGAACTCAACGCTATTTCTGACCTTTTGAATTTAGTGTGAATTAAGCGAAACATCTTTAAACTTGGAAACAAAGTCCAGTGGATTATTTATTTTTATATTTTGGGGGGAATTTGCTGTCAACATTGGTTTTCAAACCCTGCCTCAGATCTGTACTTTGACTAGGCCATTCCAACACTAAAACTGAGATGGTGGTTTTAAAGAATTTTTCAGCCATGGAGAATTTAGCATCTCGTCCAAAGAGGGTTTTTGTTTTTTGTTTTTTTGTCTGTCCCTTCATGTTCTTCGTCCTCCTGGCTTCTTCTCTATTAAAACTCTCCTTCTGTCAGTCTACGTGGACGTCCAGGTCCTTGTGGGTCTGTAGGTAGACCGTCCTCACTTCCTGTTCAGATGATGGATCGAACAGAGCTCTGGTAGATAATCAAAGCTTAGAGAGTTCCTTAAAATGATTATGAAAGTAAAACAAAAAATGAAAGAACCAAAAATTCCCAAAACTAATTAAAAAAATTTTTTTTTACTGAAAGTCAAGAACAATAGGAAGCGAGGACTCTGATTACTAAGTTTAATTATCTTACTGCACTGGAAGATTATTTATTTATATTATTTTAGTTTTGAGTAGAACGTTTTCAAAAGAAGATAATTAATCTAAAAGAATCTGCTTTTGGTCGGTATATCTCAAATCAAGATCCAAACTACTTCTTGGCTGGATCTAAGAAGGAAATACTTAGCTAGATCTAGAAATCTAGAGCTAAACTCTGAGGATGAGCATTTAGAAGTCTGTGTGTCTAAAGACATGTATCCGACCGCCCCACCGTCCAGAAAGAGACCTTTTCTTTTTTTCCGTCTCTTTCAATTTTTCTGTCAGGCTACTCAATAAAGAATAAAATCATATAAAGGAAAGCAATGTATATTCTTTTGTTTTTAGCAGGTAAATAATGGGGTTTACCATTGGAATAAGATGATTTACTTTAAAATAACAAACAACTATTATCTTATAACTGGAGCATAATATCTAATCATGTTATTTTGAGGAGAAAAAGCTCATTCCTTTGGAAGATTATCTGCTCAAATCGATGATAAATATGTTTATTTTACTACATTTTTACTTAGAGATCAGCTTTGCGTCATGAATGCTCTCAGGTTGCTCTTAGGTTGGGTTTTTCTACTCGCCTTCAGGTCTGGATCTGAACATCCGCGTCCAGCTCAAACATGTTTCGCATTCTTCAAGGAAAAATGTTAGAAATCCTTTTGATGTAAATAACTGTATTCAGTTAAAGTACATGTAGGTATGTCAACGAGGTCATTAAAGAAAAAAAATCATATCAAATGGTATATTTGCAGCAGGAAAAACAACCTTTAATTTGTTGTTAGGATACAAATCCTGCAGGGTCAACGAGTTCCCCAATCTAGACCAGACAGAAC